GTGACTTGCGTAAAAAACGTGACGTAAGTCGTGCTCCCCAGAGCCAGCGCTTTAGGCTCTGGTGCTGCGGGAATCGAAAAAAGAATCGTTCAGCGAGCTGCCAAACGATGCCATGGAATCGGAAAATATGGAACCGGTTCTGAACAGGAACCGGTTTTCGATTCCCATCCCTACTTCTGATTAATGCAAATAACCACTCAGTCAGACGGAAAGAATGAGTCTACGTGTGTTGATGTTTGAACAAGGGTAGAAAACAGTGTGTTCGTCTTTATTTCAAGTAAGAACAAAGCACATCAGTTGTTTTTTTTTTCAGAGACGCAAAGCTCTGCAACGTCATCGCTCAGCGTCAATTACTATCAGCTATCCATTCAAGATAATTCTAAGCATTAAACAAATGCAGATTGAAACTAAAGGAAATTATGAAAATAGTGAAGCAGTAACGTAGTTATAATGCAATTGGAAATATTCTATAATGTGCAAATACTGAACATATCCAAAAATAATAACTAAATATGAGCGTAAATTTCTAAATAGAAAATGGCACCAACAATACCTAATTCTAACCCTAACCTAAACTCCATTCACACCTTTTTCCTAAACCTGATAAAGCAGCAATTATACCCAAGAGGACTCTGTATTGGTTCCCAAAAGGAGCAGTCTGTCCCCACAATGGCTACATTTTATGAAAATGGTCCCCACAATGTATGAAATACAAGTATACACACACACACATAAGTTGTGTCACCCTATCCTTGTGGGGACCTTAATTTAAATTCCAGTCATATTACATTTCTATGGCCTAACATAGACCCACTACCAAACACACCTAACAATAAACCTAACCAAAATTCAATCCACTTAGTGCTGCACCTAACCCCCACCCCAAGGAGATTATTTCTCTTCACATTAGAATGGTCTGGAAAATTTTACCAACAGGGTAAAAAATATGTGCTATATGCATTTATGCATATGTGTGTGCCTTTGTGTACCTGTGTAGCCTTCAGAGTTAGGACCATTTTTCCAAATTCACCATTAAATTGAGGACCAGTTGTTTGCAAACTTCCCCAGTCCTCACATGCTATTTTGCTAATGGTTTGTTTTAGAGATAAGGTGTTCGTTGGTTAGGGCTAGCGAGAGGTATGCATTGGTAATGGTTAGGTTTAGAGTTAGTGCATAGAAAGGGTTGAAAAACTGATAATCAATAGACGTCAATGGGAGTCAACAGATGGTCCTCACAACAATGGCAGAACAAGTATATACACTATATTGCCAAAAGTATTTGCTCACCCATCCAAATTATTGGAATCAGGTGTTCCAATCACTTCCATGGCCACAGGTGTATAAATTCAAGCACCTAGGCATGCAGACTGTTTTTACAAACATTTGTGAAAGAATGGGTCGCTCTCAGGAGCTCAGTGAATTCCAGCGTGGAACTGTGATAGGATGCCACCTGTGCAACAAATCCAGTCGTGAAATTTCCTCGCTCCTAAATATTCCACAGTCAACTGTCAGCTGTATTATAAGAAAATGGAAGTGTTTGGGAACGACAGCAACTCAGCCACGAAGTGGTAGGCCACGTAAACTGACGGAGCGGGGTCAGCGGTTAGGCATAGTGCGAAGAGGTCGCCAACTTTCTGCAGAGTCAATCACTACAGACCTCCAAACTTCATGTGGCCTTCAGATTAGCTCAAGAACAGTGCGCAGAGAGCTTCATGGAATGGGTTTCCATGGTCGAGCAGCTGCATCCAAGCCATACATCACCAAGTGCAATGCAAAGCGTCGGATGCGGTGGTGTAAAGCACGCCGCCACTGGACTCTAGAGCAGTGGAGACGCGTTCTCTGGAGTGACGAATCGCGCTTCTCCATCTGGCAATCTGATGGACGGGTCTGGGTTTGGCGGTTGCCAGGAGAACGGTACTTGTCTGACTGCATTGTGCCAAGTGTAAAGTTTGGTGGAGGGGGGATTATGGTGTGGGGTTGTTTTTCAGGAGCTGGGCTTGGCCCCTTAGTTCCAGTGAAAGGAACTCTGAATGCTTCAGCATACCAAGACATTTTGGACAATTCCATGCTCCCAACTTTGTGGGAACAGTTTGGAGCTGGCCCCTTCCTCTTCCAACATGACTGTGCACCAGTGCACAAAGCAAGGTCCATAAAGACATGGATGACAGAGTCTGGTGTGGATGAACTTGACTTGCCTGCACAGAGTCCTGACCTCAACCCGATAGAACACCTTTGGGATGAATTAGAGCGGAGACTGAGAGCCAGGCCTTCTCGTCCAACATCAGTGTGCGACCTCACAAATGCGCTTCTGGAAGAATGGTCAAAAATTCCCATAAACACACTCCTAAACCTTGTGGACAGCCTTCCCAGAAGAGTTGAAGCTGTTCTAGCTGCAAAGGGTGGACCGACGTCATATTGAACCCTATGGATTAGGAACGGGATGTCACTTAAGCTCATATGTGAGTCAAGGCAGGTGAGCAAATACTTTTGGCAATATAGTGTATGTGTGTGTTTTGGGGTGTGTGTGTAGAAGCATGGTTGAAAAGTGTGTCTATAGTTTTTAGTAATCACTCATATTCTTTGATGATATTCCTCTCGGTCTGTCTTACTTTGCTTTCCAACGTAAAGTTATATAACTTTAAAATTTTATTTTTCAGTTTTACCTTAAAGATATAAACAACGTTTCTATATAGGATTACTGTCAGATTAAGGTGATGAAATAAAAGACTAGTAGTACTTAGTCTGCCCTGGTAATTTTAAACAAACAGCTATATCAATAAACAGTTGGCAGCAGAGGATATCGAGTTGTCGTTTCAAAATAATTCAAAGCAGCAACCTCCTAATGGAAAGTAAAAGACAAGGAGAGAAGCTTGAGTAACTCTCACAGTTAGTCAAAGTGCCAGGTTCCTTCTTCTTTCCAATTCCTCAGATTCTAAATAAGCTTAAAACAGCTAAAGACTTATTGATTTGTACCTATAGTGCAAAAAGGAAAGCACATTCATAATGAGTTATGGTGGACCGTTGCACAGAATACCCCCCTGTGTTAGAGGGTTAGATGCCATATGGGCAGCAACATGTTCAGCTCTGTTGCCCTAATAAATTGCTGTTGACAGTGCCCTCTTGAGATCTGTGATGGTAGATTAGTACTGCTGACCCTAACTATGAAGGCATCCTCTAACTCTGTCAAGATAGAAAGGATTCTGAGAGAACAGTTTACAGTCTGCAGGAGCTTCAATAGACACATTAGGGGGTAATTTCCCTGTTTATGTTGTCTTATGAGAAACTCAATATGCAAGTAATGAGGTTGATGTGGATAGAACAGGGTTAGAATTAGACTGTTTAGACAACTATACCCCTGTCCTCAAGGAAACAGCCTTACTGAAGATCCTGTATTAGTAAAGGTCTCCACGGTTCAATGCTGTACAAATCAATACAAGTATATAGTTTGATATATTGAGTCAGCTCCTCAGGAAATGGGAAACTGATGACTTTATTCATCAGAATTTATATATTTTGAGAAGAGACGTTGCATGCTTGTGGTCAGCCTCTTGAAAAACGCATTACCTTGACTTTGACAGCCTTTTGTAAACCTGTCATAAAGGGTGACATGCATGGTTCTACACCATCGTTGTGAGAGAAATAAAGTCACATACAAAGGCTGGCCTCGTTAAGGTCATGCTTATTAGTATGAAATAGCCTGAAGCACCTGTCAAACTTTGATGCCTCTCAAAGACTTTAATATACTTTTAGTCCCCTTTCTTCAGAATCTCATATAAATTAATGACTTAAAAAAAAAAATATATATATATTTAATCGTTCAGTGCACTAAATTCAAACCGTTTTAATCTCTATCTTTATTAACTGATGATCATGGGTTAAAGAGCAAAATGAGAAGAGAATACATATTTATTCTGTTGAGAATTTGCCCAGTTTTGTAACAGTTTCTATCAACGTATTAATATTATTGCACTCCAGTTTTTAAGATACATTCTACACACTGATGTTACCCTGATTAAATATTTTCATAAACCGTGTCAGCTATTTAACTATCATTCTAATTTTTCACTATTGCAATGCTTTGCATTCAGGTGAAACTTATCTTTTTTTATTCCCTCTTAGTACTCAGCAAGGTTAACAATTTTACCAAATCTTGCTAATAAAGCCAAAAAATATATCTAAAGATCATTCGGTTAAGTATAAAATTGGGAGTTAAACTGATATCTTTGAATCCACACTTGGTGCTTTTAAGATTATGTTCTATAATGAACGAAATTACTGCAGCCAATTTAATCTGGATGACTAGACTTCATTAAACTCATTTGGTCCTTTAAACATATGAGCTAATTATGAAGTTTAAAGAAGTTTAAATAGCCTTAATATTCATTCAGCCAGATATCTTTAGGGCTTGTTTTTCACTTATTTGTATTTTTGCATCTACTTCGTTTAAGACAGCACAACCAATTTAGAAAATGTTTCGATTTAAATGTTCTTACAAAGAGAATTAAAGTTATCCCCTTTTAAACATTTTATATATATATATATATATATATATATATATATATATATATATATATATATATATATATATATATATATATATATATATATATATATATATATATATATATATATATATAAAAACAAGGATTAGCAACTTTACCTTGCTTTTCCAGTTCCCTAAAAAAAATGAAAATCACCCTGAGAAATGTTTGCAAAGGATAACAACTCCACAGCTGGGGACTTTGTTATGGGCGCAGTTGGATCATTAGAAATGTGGCTATAGGGCTGCGGTATTGCTGTATATAAGGATAGTAATCTTTTTTTATAGGGAAAAAGAAAACATCCAACGGAAATAAATCGGCTTAATGGACAGAATTAGAAGGGACTGAATCCAGGGGAGGATTAAGGAAAATTGTGTGAAATAAAAGAACTAGTGATCAGGAATGACTGTGCGCCTGTCTGGATGGAGGGAGAGAGGGAGGGAGAGGAGAGAGAGAGAGAGAGAGAGAAACACGTTTTCATCCAAACCTGTTTTTTCCACAGCCTATAGCTTCTCGGCTCAGCTCAGTTCCCTATTGTTTGAGCTCTAAGAACAGACAGAAAAGAACCATCTGCGCTTGTTTCTACGCGCACATAGTGAGCCAGTTCTCCAAATCTAATGCTCGGTGTTTTTTCGCTCTAAATGCTGCATCCTTTGTCAACTTCTCCGATTTCTCCACTTAATACTTACGCTGCATCATGAATAGTTTGGGGACATCTTTCCATCGTATACCTATGGAATGCTCGGGATTACACGGCCGAAACCAGGAGAGCATGTAAACGCAGATGGAGTTTGGGATTTATTGCAAAATAAGGGAAAGATGACCGTCTTCTCGTTGTGCTTGCTCCTGTGCGCAGATCTGCTGGATTTAGCCGTCGGTGAGTCAAACCCTGTCATTTTATTCTCTCCCATCGTGCCTTTTAACTGTGCCATTGGTTTTTAACAGTAGACAAACTGTTACAGAGTTTAATATGGTAGAGTAAAATATAGACTCGTCATGAACCGGACAGCCGGATGGAGGCGATCGGTGCCACGCTTTTCTTATGCCAACTTTCCCCAACATCCGCGCCAAGCCAGCGGTGAAAGAACCAAATCAATGAATAATGGTAGGATTCAGCTCAGGCTGGAGATGAACGGCTTCGATGAGCGCAGAGAAAACACAAGTCAGGCCTGATTATGGATAAATCAAGATACATCTGCACCGACTGTCACATCCAGCACGCATGACAGCACCTACTTTAAAATAAAAATGGTGCAACTATAGAAATAAAACGCAGAAGCATATTCAGCGGTGTCCTATCAACGTGAGGATGGACAGAAGCTCAACAGATTTGAAAGTTGCTCTGCTGAAATATATGAAAGTGTTGCATTATGAGCAGATTCCCTCTTGCTCGATGTGCGCGGAGCAGGCGCACTTCTGGAAACCTGCGTTAGTATGTTTCATTAGAGGGTGGAAAACGAGGTTTAATCTGGGAATAGTTTACAGAATTAAAAAAAAATGTTTCCTTTTTGGGGGGAGAATGAAATGCGCTAAGCCTGTCTCTGTGTTTAACATGTCCCTTAAATTACATGCTGTGTTTCAGTGTTTGACAGAAGCGCCTTGACTCCTGCATTCTGATGCTCATCTCAGAGGATTCACCTCCCCAAGCAGACATTTAACAACACTTGTTTTTAATTGGAAAAAAAAAAGATTCAGTCAAGGTTCCACTAACTCAGCTGGATTTCATATAGAGTATGCAGTAAAAAAAAAAAACGACGTCAGAGGAGAGTTTACTCCTGTATGTATAAATATATTTAAAAAAAATCTATCAGAGCAGCCAGCCATATAAACTTACCTGTTAACCTGTTGTTTGTGTGCACTTGTGGTTACATGTTCTAATAATTCTGACCTATATTGGGAACCATACAGTTGTTCTTTGTATAATTTAAAGAGATAACTTTTCTCAGACTCGTTCTGCTGGGAGAATAATGAAGTGCACACAGGTGCTGTGCTTTTAGGATTAATACACTCCAACAATGCAATCACAGCGATTTCAAACAGCTTAAACTGTTAAGAGACTATCACAGTTCTGTGCAGGTGTAATCATTTCAAAAAACGTTGAAAGTATTGAGCTTGCACATTTGATCACTGCTGCACTGGAATGGGAATATTCATTTTACTGTTAAGCTGCTGCTCATCTACTGTCTGAAAGCTGTACAAAACGAATTTTTGTTTTTCTTATACACCCTCTGTATACAAAATGACAATAAAAGTTGTCTAAGTCTAATCAAAGTTGTTTGCTAGAATAATATTTGAGTCGAATCAGTTACTTTCATAATTACACTCTGTTTCTTGAAACATTAAGATCAGTCTGAAGTTGTGGATGAATATTTCGCCTGCAGGTTAAAGGTCAATGACTCTACCCACGCCTCTATTTAGAAATTCCATATATTATCAATTTTATCTTTAAGAGTTCAAAAGCTCCTAATGTTAGCAATTTAATGAAACATGTTTTATCCTTTCATTCCACACTGTGTTGTTTTCTCTCAGCTGTGTTTTTTTTGTGTGTGTAATTTGTCATATAATGGCCTGGTAAAAAGGTAATATTACAGTTGTGCTGTTTATCATACGGGTTGATTGGAGACTTCTTAGGTATATTGCTCCAGTACTCAGTGCATATTTTTAAATATATTATTTTTTCAGTGTGAATGTCTTGTTTTAATTTCAGGCCTTATTGTCACTGCTTATCATAATTTGCTTTCTAAGTAATGCTACAACAGGCATTGTAGGTTCAATCTACTTTGGAGAAAATTCCTTTCATTCCTACCACATGTGTTTCAATATGTTATATACGTATTAGTAGCGCTCCAAGGGTTTGCTGTGTATCAGAATTGGGATACGGCTGTTTTACTGTCTTTCTCAAAAGACAACAAAATCATGCTTATGTCTGTAGTTGCCTGGCAACTTCACTCTCATACAAAGAGTTTTGAAAACTAGCCTACTGCCTTTAGCTAATAAAAACTAAAAAAAAAAAAACAACAACAGAAAAACCTAAATAAAAACTATGCTATATTAAGAATTTTTTAGATGTAACAGCACTGTATACAGCAGCAAAAAAAAATTCTTAATCTTTCGAGGGCTACAAGTGAGACATAGTCAAAACAAGTGGGTTATTAGACTGTTCTTTATACAAGCACAGAAAAGTGAAAACTTTAAGGTTGTTTTCAGTTTTTAAAAATAACTTGCAAGGCTTTTGGTTATTTTCCTAAATATGTTTTATTACTGTTAAAAGGAAATAACAAAAATATACATTTAACCCAAAGAAACACCATTAAACTCAATTGTGGTCATTAGTGGATTTACAAATGTACATCACATTTAAAATGCTAGGTTTTGATAACTTCTTCTTGTTTGCACAACTAACATATATTAATGGTAGCTTAGCATTTATGAAGGACCAACTCTGCCATATTTAAAAATAAATACAGAAATAAATAAATGCTCAATAAATGTATAAGCATACAATTAATTGCCAACAAAAAAGTGAGACATAAATGTATATAACTCTTAATTAGCTTCTTTATTTATTTGCCTTTGTAATATTTACCTTATTTATTTTTCTGTCCTTTATAATCTTCAACTTTATTTTTTAATTACTTATATTTTTAAGTATTTATTTATGTGCATGTTATTATATTTTTGTCTGTTTTATTCTTCCTTTGTATTTTTTTTACCTTAGTTATTTCTTCGCCGCTGTTTATTTCTCTCTGCCCTTTTTACATTTCTATATGCATTTCTATCTCATTATGCAAATGAGGAGGGGGTGTGTCCTAGAGAGTCAACTTCTGCTCATTGGTTGGCTTGGCTGTCCATCTTCTTAACTCACAGAGCTCAGAGTACTAAGTTAAATGTTCTCTTTTCTGTTGTTCAATAAAAGTACGTTTTAAGATCATTTGAGGCGAGAACCTTATACTTTTAAGCATCACCATATGGCCCATTCACAGATTTAATGCGTAATTTAAAAGAAAATGTGACGAACTTGAGAGGACCGTGGCAACCAGCGGAGCTCCGAAGCTGACGGCAGCCAGGTCTATAGCCAGGCTATGATGGCGATTTTTTGTTGTACTTGGCAAAGTTTGGCAAAGTCCCTACTCAAGTTCTAATGACTTCAGACTCGACATCAGACTCTCCTCCTGTAGATTCGACCGATGTAGTAAAATGCTAACCAACACGCTTCACACACGGCTATGCCGAGAGAGGGCCGCTGCAGATGGGCTGTGGTCGGACCTGGCTGCCGTCAGCTTCGGAGCTCCGCTGGTGCCGCGGTCCTCTCAAGTTCATCACATTTTCTTTTAAATTACGCATTAAATCTGTGAATGGGCCATATGGTGATGCTTAAAAGTATAAGGTTCTCGCCTCAAATGATCTTCAAACGTACTTTTATTGAACAACAGCAACAGAAAAGAGAACATTTAACTTAGTACTCTGAGCTCTGTGAGTTAAGAAGATGGACAGCCAAGCCAACCAATGAGCAGAAGTTGACTCTCTAGGACACACCCCCTCCTCATTTGCATAATGAGATAGAAATGCATAGAGAAATGTAAAAAGGGCATAGAGAAATGTAAAAAGGGCATAGAGAAATGTAAAAAGGGCAGAGAGAAATAAACAGCGGCGAAGAAATAACTAAGGTAAAAAAATACAAAGGAAGAATAAAACAGACAAAAATATAATAACATGCACATAAATAAATACTTAAAAATATAAGTAATTAAAAAATAAAGTTGAAGATTATAAAGGACAGAAAAATAAATAAGGTAAATATTACAAAGGCAAATAAATAAAGAAGCTAATTAACAGTTATATACATTTATGTCTCACTTTTTTGTTGGCAATTAATTGTATGCTTATACATTTATTGAGCATTTATTTATTTCTGTATTTATTTTTAAATATGGCAGAGTTGGTCCTTCATAAGCATTGGTCCACCCTAAACAATGCACCTGCATTCTTCACAGAGAGATTGAAAATAAAATGGTGTAAAGTAATCAAACAGCACTGCATGAAAAGTGGGATTTTCGTCAATATACGGCACTGTAGATTGTCGTGGAACTTCAGGTTAGCGGCAGTTTACGGCAATTTGCAGGCCTTGCCGTAAACTCCCGTAAATTGTCAGAAATTGACGTGGAATTTCTTAGGCAGTGTTCCCCCCATGCCTCCCCCCCATGGAATTCTAGGGGAGGCTTTAACATGTAAATGAACATGCTGTGAGCTATACAAATGCAAACCATAAACCATGGGTAAGAAAATCTCTGATACAAAGAGATCAGGTATAGCCTCTTACATTTTAGCTTGAATTGATTTATTTAATTAAAGTATAGAGACCAAAACAGATCTTTAGCTGACAGAGCAATACATTTAGAGCAGTAATTATTTTTTTTTTAATTAGCATTTAAGATAAAAAATAAAATGTTGTCTGTCAATATGCTCAATTCACAATTACTTAAGTGGAAAAGTTTCAAGAAATGATTCTGAGATGATTCACTTTATAACATGGCGCATTATCCTGTTGGAAGTAGCCATCAGAAGATAGGTACACTGTGGTCATAAGGTCATAGGTCAGCATGCTAAATTGGTTTTAAGTGGCCCAAAGTGTGGCAATAAATATCCTCCAAATAGATGGTAGAAATAGATCAGGCCCAGTATAGCCTAATTATAGACTCTTACATTTTAGCTTGAATTGATTTATTTAATTAAAGTACGCTAGATTACTGTGTATGCAAATGTTATGTAAAAGAAAATACACAAAATAATTTACTTCAAAAATTAGTTTTAATCAGAATCAGTTGGCTGTAATGGTTAATTTTTTTTTTTAGATTTCCACTTTTTTTTTTTTTTTGT